ATGTTGGATGAACTCTGGCGACGCCTAGCCAAAGCATTGCATTCCCATGCCGCCGATCAGCAGATGATAATGACGATGGTGGTGGACTGGCCAGTGGTGCTAGCATAGCCAGTGACTGGTGGTGCTGATGACACCGACTTGGCAGTGGCTTGCACGTTCTTTTTGCATGCCACCAGTGTGACATCCACAACGCCTCGTGATTTGTGGACATTGCACTCGAAGGGAAAGGAAATTGCATAGAAATCGAAACCAAAACAAAGGCAGACGTGGAATGTCAGGGAAATGACTCGAAATCGACCGGGGAGTACTGATTAATTAATTAAAGAAAATTAAACAGAAAACCCCAGAAAATCCTTAATAATTGACCTCCCCATTAAAAAAAATTCAAAATGCTAATAAGTTTTAAAAGCCTAACATATTGTTTGGAAATAGTTAATTTATTAATTTATGCAAGAAAATGTTGTATCCCAAAAATCCTTAATAAAAATATTTTCTAAAACATAATAAGTTTTATTGGCCTAACATATTTTTTGGGAAATAATTATTTATTACAATATACAATAATAAAAAAAAAAGTATAATCTGCACTTTTCGAAGGTTTTTAAACTTGACTTGTTATACAACTAATATCCTCGTATAAATATAGTCTTGCGTAAAATCAAAAGGAGCCATTATATAGTCTCTACAGCTAGATCAAACTGGAATGACTTCCGCCATATCTATATATTACACCCCTTGCATACCCCAACTAACAGGCAACTATGCGGAATTGAAAACCACTTGAAATTATTTCATCGACCCGGGACGAGTTCTATTCCCGTTTAGACAGAAATATCTCGAATTTGGACATCGAACTGAGCGAGGAGCGATGTGGTCTGCGATGGCGGGGAAGTTGGGCATAAATTGATGCTGGCTAATTACGCGGCAATTGTTTAAATTTAAATTAAGGCAGACGAATTTAGAAATCATTTTAGCAATGCAGAAGCAAAAAGAAGTGCGAGCGGAATTTACGCTTTCCGTATTTATTTTCGTTTTCGAATCCGAATCGCTGGCATCGTGTGAACCAATTGAAGAGCGCATTGAACGAATCGATCGGCAATTAATAACGAAACACGCTCACAATCAATATAATAAACACAATTAATCCAGACAAACTATAATTATTACGTAATTGAGGTGGGTTGTCCATTATGCATCTGATTTGTATTCCCCGATAAGCCAACGAGAGGAACTGGAACTAATGCTGGTCTATGGTCTATGGTCTCTGGTTTTTTTTGGCTTGTGGGTTTGTGGCTCGCTGATGTCTTGGCCATCGATCAGCGATGAAGACAATAATGGCACCTCCCTGCCCGCCGCATTTCGTTATAAAATTCGCATAAATCAACGCAAATAATTAAGCAGTCGCAGAGCAGTCCCCACGAGACGCTAATATCGAGAGTTTCCAATCCATCTGCCCAGACGCGGGCCTCTCGTCCCAGCAGACACAACATAAAAAATCAAAAATCCCAAAGCAAAACAAAACAAAACAACCCAAAAAACACAAATTAACAAATTCACTTTTGTGGTTTTTACTCATTCGCATAGTGCGAAAATGAATAGCAAAAGTGCGAGACGAGAGTGAATCAAAGATAGTTGAGATAGGTTGGAGATGGCTTTAAAAGATTTAAGATTAAGACAAGCGCGGGGGCTCGAAGTATGTGGAAAAATTTTTAGCCAAATTGATGACAGCTTAATAGAATTTAATAGGTGATTTCTTTTAAAGATCTGACGAAAAATACTTTTGGTAGGCCTATTAAAAAAGGAATAATAACTAAAGGTCTTACATTAATTAGGGTTATATTTATTTTTACATAATAAAAAAAAAAAAAAAAAAAATATTTATTTTCTTTAATGACAAAAAAATCATACAAAAACTAATGAGTTTTTGGAGATTTAAACAGAAAAATATAGTATTTAAATTTAATTATTATTTTATAGTTTACTTAACTACTTATTTTTGATCAAAGTTTGCTAAACCATTGTCCGTGATTCTAATAATATTTAATAATATTTATTTTCACTTGGTACGAACCCACAATTAGCGGAAATAAATGTCTATCAAACTGAGCATTACACATGTACCGTAGAACAAAGAACGTGTGGACATGCAAAAATGTAAACATCCTAACCATGTTAGTAGGCTACACAACTAACGCCTCTCGATCCACCTGTGCCGCCGTCTTGATGGTAAATATATGTATGCGCATATAACTTAAAAAAAAACCAACGCAACTGGGAAGGCGACTACTGGTCTTGGCAGACGAAGCTGGTCCAAGGAAACCGGTGTGCGGGGATAGTATGCCTTTTTTTCTTTTGGGGGTATAGAGTGTCTCTATGAGGAATGGCCAAAAGCGGCAACAATCAACAATGGCCATCCCGACAGCTGCCGCGGAGATAACTCACAACGCACGACGGTTCGTGAATAAGTATACAATGAAGTAGCCTACGTTTTCTTCATTTTTTTTTCTTATTTTTCGGGTGTCATAGATATGTGAGTAGGTATTTTTTATTTTTGCATCATTTATCAAGCTCATTTCGCTGGGGGTTAATCAGTGAGGGAAGCCAAGATCATCATGATCTTTGGTCGGGGAAGTGCATTGAACAACTCTATATGTGTGGCTAAGGCAAACCTTTTATATAGTCGCTTTGGGCCATGTTGAAATGCAATTGGCTACGCCCAGGAGATGTTGCCATGTCGAACGGGGCGTATGGGCAATCAAGGCAAATCGTAAGAGAAAAGGGTAAAAGAAACCATATTTTCACACGCCCTGTCGTGAATACGAAATAAAAACAAAAAGCCAGCCAAAATGTAAATACTCGTAAGACAAAACAAAAAAACGCGCTGACTTGTGATTATATTATAGGCATTTAGCCAACTCATCCCAAGAGTCGACGTCATCAGCACGTGGCTAGCCATAGAAATAATATAATAAAAATAGTTTCGAACCAATTATGAGATATTCATTTATATATAGGGATGCAGCTGACGCAAAGAGAGTGCAATCTATGCACTCGCATTCCCCCAAAAAACTATTTCGTCATCTATTTTCTGTTTCGCTGCCGACGATGACGTTTTCAGCACTCGTGCCTCGGGAAAACACCCGTACTGTGAAAACTGTGTGCCGTGTAATCCGTTAAACTGGCCGATTTCATGGCCTCGCTGGCGTCACGGCTTATATACTACCTATGGATGCACCTCACCTGGTCATATGTTCTTCGGCGATTTGTTTTGCTCTGGTTTGTCATCCGCTGTCGGGCACTTTTGGCGCCCATCGCCATTATGGTAATATAGAGCCAACTTATAAATAGAGATGTTTGTTTTGCCACAGCTAATAGTCAACTGAATTGTAGAGCATTTCTTTTACATTCCTATTTTTGCAATCGATTGGAAACCCTTTGGTTTTACATTTACTGCTATTTTAAGGTAATGAAAAATGTAATTAAAAATATTAACCTTGTTCTAAAATTAAAAGTTATTCAGAATTTTTTGTAAGAATATAATTTTTTGGAAATTTATTTTTAAACCCAATTAACCTACTTTACATCGAGTAGTGGAAAATAATGAGTTTTTAATCAATTTTGAATGCATTGAAATTTCCCTTATGAGGAAGGCTAATCATAAAACTAACCACAGCGTTTTAAGAAGCTAACTGCTGGCACTTAAAAGCTGTGGATTCGCCGCGAAATACAGACGCTTAAGAAGCGGCTAACAAGTTGCAAACCGATTTTGGCCAAAACAAATGAATTGGCAAAGCCTTTCAAGCCGTTGCAGCTCTGCACCGTCGGCGATTAAGTGTGCTCAATAGATCGGATACCGCAATGCGCCCCATCCCCTCCCCCTTTCACCTGTTCGTCCCTGAACCAAGCCCCCGAACCACCCACTCAAAGGAGAAGAATAAAAACCCAGAAAGCTGACGGATATGTCACTACTGCCATCGATCTTCCTTGCAATGTTTGTGCTTCAATCGATGATGTTTTTATTCGGTTCTCGCTGGTTATTAATAAAAATGCATTGGCCATCCCTCCCGTTCAATAGTGAGTATCTGTGTGGATATTCGCTGTGTTTATTGTGCAGCTTATAAATCATTTTGCGTCAGGCTGCGTCCGCTGCCGTCTGCTGAAACTGCGACGCTTTGCTGACGCTGGTAAACATGTGTACGACACCAAAAACAACAACACTCAAAAAAAGAGGTATACAATTAAGGTCAAAACGGTAGTAATTGATATAAGCTCCGTTTCACAGATTAGGATAGTTTAAGGAAAGTGATAAAGAGGTTAGATTGAGTTCTCTGTTGTAATGACAAACCATTTACAACATTAAACTTAAAAACTCTTTAAAAAAATATTTTTTATAAATCAAATCATTTTTTTAACTTCCACTTTTGCAAATAAAGTATACAAAAGATTTAACTTTTTATATTTTTTGTAACAATTTGTTACTTTTTAGTTGTTCTTGCAAGTATGATTAATTATTGTTTTAAATAAACAACCCGTACTTTGAAAATATTTCACAAATTCTACATGTTTTTAAATACAACACTACACTTCTTAGAAGTCAGTACTTTGCATTTTTGCAGGTATTATAGAAAACACCCTGCTATTATTTTGACCACAACTGTGGCTGCACTCATATTTTTTACTATTTGCTTAATATTTTCACCATTTTTATGATGCACTTTGAGCACTTTTCATGCAAATTTATGTCGTCATTGTGCGTTGTCTAAGTTACCCCCGCCGGGCACGCCCCTTTTTTTGTTTCGACCAGCCCCTTCTCAAGCGGATTGAGCAAACAGTTAGCTTCTTGAGCGATTTGGCAATGCGCGCTGCATATTGCGTATACGCCGCGTGTGCGATTAGCGAATTAGAAGGAAACACCAAAGCGGCGTTAAAGTTGGGAAAAATATAAAAAACAAAACCATCACCGAATAACCGAATAGCCGAAGGGAATAGAAAATACATACACGTGTTTCCATTGGCAAAAAAGTGCCTGTCGTTGGGTGAAGTGGATGTGGAGGTGGAGTCGGAGTTGGAGGAACTGCAGCAGGCCAGGTGATTGATATCGCAACCGTCGGGAAAGAGATTGCGGCAGGGATAAATCAAAGGCAAAGTCGGCAGAGGCGGCGGCAAAAGGTGTTGTTGCTGGTGTGTATGTTGTTGCTGTTGCTGTGCGTGTTGCTGGTGTACTGAATGTGCTGGCTGATGTTGTGCCGGCGCATTAAGGTTCTGTCTGTAGCAGGAATTGTTGTTGATCTCTTGGAACAGACTGCTCTCCGCGTACAGTGAGGCCTCGCACTTGATCGCCGACGGCTGATGGTGGTTAATGTGATGGCTAATATTCGTATTGCTGCCGCCCTCTTGCTTCACCACAATCAGCGAGGCAAGCCGATCGCGCATTATAGACCAAGCGTCTTTGTTAAAGAACCCAAAAATGATGATGAAAATGGGTAACAAACATAAAACACACAGGACGGGACGGACAACACAACACACAGATCAGATATTATATATCAGTTTCTAAATAGGCACCTGTTTGGCGCCCTGAGCGGCGCTGGTGATCCAGCACGACGGTTCCGAGTTGCTCCCTCAATTCTGTTGGCTACTGTAGCAGCGACCGACTCCTTTTTTGCCGAAACTCTGATTGCAATAGTTGTAATCGGGCTTCATTTTCCCGTCCTTGCCACAGCTGTAGTTGTTGTCGGGTGTCCTTAGACTTGAACTTGTCTTTCGCCTTTTTTTTCCGGCGTTTGCGCAGTGGCCAAGTGACGACGTAAGCGACGTAACGACTTACGCACGCTATAGTATATGCATATATTGGTTCTATATATTTGGAGGTTGTTGTAGTAGTAGGAGGCACAAGGACGTCGCTTACACTTTACACACGGATACACACTCGCGCACGGAGCAACACAGAAAATTGTTTGTCCTTAGCAAACGTGCTTATGGATTTTTAAAAAATATTTTGAAAAACTTTCATTCCAAAAATATCTACGGCTGTCTCTCAAAAGTAATTCGAAATTCTATCAATTTAATTATTACACATACGCAGCGTGGTCCACCTTTGGCTAGGAATTGCACAAACGCGGCGTTGTCTCTCAGGAAAGTGAACCGTTGGAAATTATTACACATACGCAGCGTTGTCGACCGGCTTCCGTTTCCGCATAGAACCAAGCGAATCAATAAAGAACAACAACTTGTTGCAATTGTTTAACTCTTGAGCACTCACACCTATGGTTGTATTTTATTTCAATTTAATACTGAACGCGAATTTCTGTTAGAGCTACGTGGATTTGTGTTTTGGTTGGATGATTTAAGTCGGAAACTCGGAAATTCTGAATCTCCGAATTCGCCTCGGTATATATTTTGTTTGATGTTGGATTTTCCGTGAGCGGTGGCTGTTTGGTTAAAGTTGTTAACAATGCGGCGTCTGTGACGCGACTGAACTTATCTTTACGGTTACACGCGACTATATTCAAAGCGTCGCAGCTGGCAGCGCTGCCTCAGCTGGCGTTTCGCTGCGCTCGCGGGACCGAGTGAGAGCGAGAGTGAGTGCGAATGCGAATGCGAGTGTGCGAGGGGGACGGGGAGCGGCGGGCGGGACACGACCTACCTTTGCGGCCCGGCTATTACGTCATTTGCGGCCAACAACTGAGCGCAGCTCGTGCGAGGAAAATCGATGACGTCGTTGGCAGAGCGCCTGCGCCGGAAAATCCGAATGATTTTCCAAATGCAGTGCAGTGGGACAGTTGGGAAACGGAAATTATGTGCGTCATAAATGAGACATTGGCCATCCCTTTTGCTCGCACCCGAGATTGATGGTTGTTCTTGATGCCGTTTCACCTGCCCAGCTTTTCCACCTCCCCCAGTCCCCTGCCCCCTTTTTCCACGCTTTTCCAACCGCCCACATCCTGTTCTCCCCTGCTGTCATAACTTCCGTTCCTTTCAGTTAATATACACAGGAAACCAGGAAAATAATTTAGGGATATTTAAGGATTAGAAAAGTATGGGAATAAAATTTGTTTGACTAACAGGACCATAAACAATTTGTATAAGTTTCCTAGCATTTTACTTTAACAAGTATTTACAAGCATTTTACAAATTAAATTAAAAAACAAAATAGTTTAGAGTGTACAATTTTTTCAAGTGTTCCAAATTTGTGTGGGCAATTCTGTGCATATCATTTCACAGGGAACAGGACTTCCGTGCCTTTTGTGTGTGGGCGAAGCCAACAAGATTCACGGGAATATGAACCAGATTTCAAGGAATGTGTTTATTTGACTAAATCCCACGAATATGATAAATGTGGGTGGATAAATGTGGTTTCTATGCTGAATAGTCGCACAGGATTTACATAGTACTTCAAAAGACTTTTTACGGTAAGCCATTGCAGTTTTCTGTTAATGAGCTTAATTTTTTTTGTTTTAGGGCAATTATAATAAGCTTTTTATTAAAGTGGCTTTCCAAGACTTTTTATACCTCCTTAACTCGCTGAAAAATTCGTATTTGATAAGACCACGAATTTATGTACTTCTCGCTAAACCCCTTTAATTTTCGCTGCCTTAACGATGCCAAGACAAATCGATTTCACACCAAATCCCAGGCCAATTTCCCTTTTCCACTTAACAAAATACCATCCTGCCACATCATAAACCAGATCACTCCTTCCTCATCCCCAAATATAAATAAGTTGCACCACAAATCATTTAGGCAATATACCAATAACACGATCCGAGCTTCGTCCGTCGGAAAAGCGGGAATATTAATGCACTTTACCATTGACACCGGCGTTTGCAGCTCGTAAACAACAACAAGGAAAATAATAATAATGCAAAGGCAGTTGAAATCTTCTCTCCGAAGATCGGAGAATTACAGAAAAAAAACTAAAAACCCGAAGACAAGACGCCGACTGCGCTGCCACCGTCGACTGTACAGAGAGTGAGAGTAGTGGTCGTTCGGATCCCGAATCGCAGTCTTCCGAAGACTCGTCTTTGAGGCGGTGTCTTCTGGTGGAGCTGAGGCCGGCGGCTTAGATTTCGTTTTCATTCGGCTTTTCTTCGGTCGCTCGTGTGATTGGTTGCATTCGTTGAGGCTATTTTTAGACAGGTTCCAAGCCACGTTTTCTAACTGTTGTTAGCGTACGAGCCGGAGATCTCGAGCTGTGGAGTAGCTAGAGCTCTCCATTTGGAAGCCCCAGACAAAACGTGAGATCGCTGGGTCTGCCGACTGCTGCGTCGACTGCGGCAGAATCGGCAACTGCGACGGCGACTGAGACACCGACTTGGGTTTTGGGCGCAGTGGCTCTTCCTTTCGTTTTCGGCTAGATTTTTTCCCATAATGCTTTGGCTCGGATCTCGGGTCTCTGGGTCCGGCTCGCAGTGCCCGTTGTGGCTCCGGGGGATCGGATCGGTGTGGTACAATGTGCTGCTGTGGTGTGGCTTCCCATGTACATATATATTAGTTGGATTTGGGAGCGACGCAAGTGGAACTGGTCTGTGGCAGGCACCATGTGCATGTAGAACAGTGGCTCAGGAGTAATTGGTAGTGGGCAAAAAATGGAAGAACCTATAGGATAAGAGGGATGTCCAATACCTTTGGTTATGAAAAAATGGTTTCCAAATTTTAGTTGGTATTTTATAAGTTTCTTAAAAATAAAAGTGATTATTATTGTTATTATTATTAAGAGATGAGTGATCAGCAAGCTACAAAAGCAATTCTCTTAGATACGATAAAATAATATCTGATCTATTTCCATCATGCTATCATATAAAAATGTATTACTTTTATTTCTTTTTACTTCAAATTTTGTACTATTATTTATTTATTTTTTGAGTAACATTTAAAATTAATTAGTAGGATAGTAAATAATTCAAAATATTTGGAATGATTAAACATTTATTTTATTTATCTGATAAATTATATTTAAAGTTTGTTATAAATTCTAGGTCTGAATAGAATGTAGACCACTGTATGGGCCGCCTTTCTTGCTGTTGTTAGTGTTGCCGCCGCTGTTCCTTTGGCGGCGGCGGTGGCGGTAATGGAGGTGGAGGTTGGTGGTGCCAGTGGTGCTAGTGGTGCTGCTGCTGCTGTTGGCTGACCCGCTGGTGGCCCCAAAAAGTGCATGCAAACAGCTTAGCGTTGGAGTCTCCGTCTCCTTGTTGTTGCTGCAGCTATCGCTGATGTTGTTGCTGTTGCTATTGCTGTTGCTATTGGGTTGCTTCCAAAGAGTTTCGATTGCCGCTGTTGTTGTTGTTGTTGCCTTTGGTTTTATTGGCTGTATTAAGCATGACATGCCAAGCCAAAGTCGCAGTCTCTGACTCCGTCTCCATCTCCATCTCCGTCCAAGTTGAAGTCGACTTCGGAATCGGCACTCCTTGCTTTTGTCTCTCTGCCTTTTGTCTATTATTTATTGTTGTGGTCGTAGTTGCACTGCGATGATATTCTAAATGTGCCGAGCCAAATTCGCTTCGTTTTGGCCAAGTCAACTTGGCTGGGCCTTAATGCATGTATCATTTTCGCATCGTTGCGCCCGCCAGTTCGTGAGTTTAATTTAAGGAATTTTTGCTCTTTTTGATTGCTATTTAGGCTTTGATTTTGCTGGTAAGAAAAAAATAGAAACTAAAAAACCACCCCAGCCCCCCTGTAAATTTCAATTAGCATGCGGCACTTTGCATTGTTTTTTTTTCTTCTTTTCCTCATCTATTGCTGCCGCATTTGCAACGGCGCCTCTCGGCTCATTTGCATAAATTGCATTTTGGGATTCGCCAACCCTTTTTTATAAACTCACTTTCGATGCCCACTTTTTATGCCTTGCCCAAAAAATTGTGACTTCCTCTGGCTAACTAAAAACAAAAAAAATAATACCAAATAGAAAACGAAACCCAAAACTCCGCTGACTGCTTAGCCTGCAGGTGCATTTTATGGCGAATTATTGTCATTATTTTTTTTCCTGCCTTCGTTTAACTATTAATATTTGTAACTTCACATAAATATATAGGTGTATTCCTTTTGGGTTTTTTTTCTCGTTTTTTGCCCTGGCAATTTTGTGCTATTTTGTGTCTAAATAACATTTTTGTGGGGGGCTTTAAAGGCGAACATGTCATAATATCATCAAGTGTACGCCCAGTTGGCATGGGTATCTCTCGTTGGCCAAAATGGCCAATGTGGCAATCCACATTGGCGGCTTTAAGTGGGGTAAGTCGATGGTTAGGGAGATGATTTACGGGCTCACAGGTAAATTATTGCGGCGGGGGCTTGGATAAATATTATCGAATTCATGTTGAAATATGACTTAATAAAGAAAAGGAATTTTGGGTCAACATTAAGTTGGGATTACAGACTTCAGAGGATCAAACAAAAATAAAACGCTGTTTTTAATAAGCCGATCTGTTTAAATATTTTAAAAATAGTTTAATGGCTGGAACACACTTTAATCCAAAAACATTTATTTATTAAAAATTTTGAAAACTTTATCATTTAATCTGTATTCTTTCCTAAAAGTCTGCTTAAGCTTTAAGGGCGACTGCTTGCCATTCCCCAGACCAACAGCACAACTTATCCCATTATTCCTGACAGCGACGACCTTGAGAGCTCGAACTCGAACTCAACCACCTACAAAGTGCTCCCCACTGAGCTCAGCTGTCCCGCTGTCTTGGAATTAAATTCCCTACGCAGCTATTCAAAGGGGAAGCCACCGGCGGATGAACGGAAGTGCGGCATTGATTTTATGGTCTGCTTCCGTTGCGTCTTGACCGAGTCACGTCTACAAGTTGCCATGGGTGGAGACCCCACCCCTTTCAACCCCTCCGCTAAATTCACGTCACGCACGCCCCTAAGTAGGCAACACTTTTTGCGGTTTGTTTGTCCTTTGCTTAGGGGCTGTCCATATATTACGTAATCACGTTTTTGGTGATTTTTCAATAAACAATCCCCCGCCCAATGATTACGTAATCCCAAGAAAAAAAATTGGTGTTTTAATCTGTAGATTCAAACGGAGATGCAAGCCAATCTTTAATATTGTTTATAAATGGAGTTTGGTATGACTCATTCGCTTCGTCTACGCTGAAATTATGTGAA